TGTACAGATTGGGTCAAAAGACTCACTTCTTTCCATTTTGATATGGTCAGTAGAACCTTGATCCCATGGATCCAAAATAAGGTTGGATAAGGGACCTTTAACTGTATGTTTATTATCTATTTTTTTAAAATTTTGTCCTTGACATTCAACACCAAAGGCCTAAAAACTCTAATCCAAAATGGTATTTGCACACCTATGTTCATTGTAGCACTATTCACAATAGCCACAATCTGGAAACAAATCAACTGTCCAAGAACAGATTAATGGATTAAAAAAAAAGTACATATGTACACAGAGGAATACTACTTGGCTATAAGAAAAGATGCAGTCTGCTGCTATGTGGATGGATCTGGAAGGTATCATGCTGAGTGAAGGTAGTCAGAAGGAGATGGACAGATCCAGAAAGTTATGTATATGAAAAGTTAGCTATCGCTCACATATGGAATAAAAAAAAACAGTAAGGGAATAATAAATGAGCAAAGGCAATGAATCTGAGAACTGGTCTACAGAACTGAGCTTCCATTAGTGGGAGACAGGAGGAGTGGCAGGGTAGGAGTGAGGGTGTTTGACACTGAGACAATGTACACACACACACGTACACATACACACACACACACACACACACATATTTCCCCTTCACCCAACACTCATGGATTTTATTGAAAGAAAAAAATAATGTGGGGCTGGAGTGATGGCACAGTGAGTAGGGCATTTGCCTTGCACACGGCCAACCTGGGTTTGATCCCCAGCATCCCATATGGTCCTCTGAGCACCACCGGGAGTAATTCCTGAGTGCATGAGCCAAGAGTAACCCCTGTGCATCAGCAGGTGTGACCCAAAAAGCAAAAAAAAAAATGTAATTATCGAAAACATTTAAGGGCAACAAAATGTTGGTAACTAAAGTCTGTCAGAGATTCAGTCACCAACAAAGAACTCTGATGCTTAAGCTGTGGTCAGTGAAACACAGATGACTCTACCTATATTACCTCTTTCTAAAAATCAAATTAAATGGGAATAAAGGAATTTTTCAGATGTATGAATCCAGAGGACACGGAACAGAAAAGGAGACTGGAGCAGTAAGAAGTAACTAAGCAAGCATCATCTTAGAATTGGGCTCGGAGAGTTAAGAGAGGCACAGTCTTATGTGTGCAGAGACAAATCAGAAATTAACTGACTGGCCCTGCAGGACCCTAGAAAGGTGCTCAGAGTTGTCATATAACAAAAGGAAGGCAGGCTGAGAACTGGCATTCCAAACAGAGGTTTGGTTAAAAACATGTAAACTGCAATGCTATGAGACTGCTGCCCAGATTTCCTCTCTTATTCCTCCCTTGCTCATTAGTCATCCTTGTAGGACAGGGATGGGATAAACGCACCTCAGCTGCTTTTCTGTCAGTGATGTCTGTAGCAGAAAGGTCTGAAGTAAAACCTCACGGGTTAACTTACTGGTGAAAACAGAGCAAGAAGTAGGGGAGGAGGCAGGTAATGGGGGATACAGGCACTTGTATTTTAGACCCTATAAGTCTATTTGTCTCTGTAGCTTAAAGGGCAGGGGGACCCTCCCAATCAGTGCTGGTGGGGGGCAAGGGCCAGCCCCAGTAATACTCAGCCAATCGGGCTAGACTGATTCTATGCTTCGGCCTAATGCTCAGGGAGACATGTCGTATGAGAGATCAAAAATTGCAATGCGACTTGCAGTTATCATGCAGAGAGGAAGCATGCTAGCATTTTCACGGTGGAGAGGCAAATTCTATAGACTGCTTTCCTGCTCACTAGTTACAAGTTGTTGCTTACCTGGCAAGTTTGCTGAGGCCAAGGACTTGCTTGTTAGGAAGATAGCCAATATGGACCTTCAGAGAAGAGACAGATATCATGAGCCAGGCAAAAAGGCAGCACATTATTGTGACAAAGGAAATAACATAACACAATAGAGCAGCACTGTAGCACTGTCCTCCCATTGTTCATCGATTTTGCCTGGAGCGCGCACCAGTAACGTCTTCATTGTGAGACTTGTTTTTACTGGTTTTGGCATATTGAATACATCATGGGTAGCTTGCCAGGCTTTGCTGTGCGGGCGCAATACTCTCAGTAGCTTGCCAGGCTCTCTGAGAAGGGCGGAGGAATCAAACCCGGTTCCCCAGGTTGGCCACGTGCAAGGCAAACGCCCTACCCATTGTGCTATTGCTCCAGCCCAACATAATAGGATATAGTTAGATAATTCATCAAATGAAAATGTATCTTTAAAACACCAACAAGGTTTTTAGACATAGAAAATAAGTTTCTTCAGTAAGTATTTTAGAAGATACAAATGAATCAAAAAGGAAAACATAAATGGATGAGTTTATTAATAATACAATAAATTTGGGCCAGAGAGATGATACAGGGGTTAAGTACTATGTTTTGTGTGCAGCCAACCCCAGTTGGATTCCTGGCACAACATGATCGCCTCAAGTATCATCGGGTGCATCCTGAAGGCCCCTGGATACCACCACGCATGGCCTAGTAACCTCCAGCACTGCCACCTCGGATCCTGGGCCTCCCAAGCATCACTTGGGAGATTCCTCCCCCAAATTAAAAACATGATAAATTTGAAGTATAGCCATGGTATTTTCTGTGGTAAAGTTAAATTCTTGATACAATTCCTTAAAGCCTTTCCTCTATTGAGAGGAAGAAGACTCAAGAAAGTACAAATTATCCAGAAGCAACATTAAAATGTATCCAAGAAAGTGTCATTAGATGGCTTAAATCAGGGATGGGGATGTGACTCAGTGGTAGAGCACTAGTAGTGAACATTTGAGGTCCTGAGTTCAATTTCTTATACCATACAAAATAGATGGATGGATGGATAGATGGATGGATGGATGGATGGATGGATGAATGGATGGATGGATGGAATTTTAACTTTAAGTACTATAATTCCACACACCACGTGGTCTTGAAAATTCTACTCTTGGAGTGCCTGGAGTCATAGTACAGTGGAATAATACACTTGCCTTGCACATGGCTGACTTGGGTTCAATCCTCAGCACCCTATATGGTTCCCCAAACCCTTCCAAGAATGATCCCTGTGTGCAGTCAGAAGTAAGCCCTGAGAATAGCTGGTTGGGGCCCCAAAATAAAACAAAACCAAAATAATTATACTCTTGCGGCCAAAGAGATAAAACAGTGGGTAAGGTGCTTGCGTGCTTGCCTTACACTTGGCCAACCAAGGTTTCATTCCTGACATCCCAGATGGTTCCCCAAGCCCCACAAGGAGTGATCCTTAATTGCAGAGCCAGGAGTAAGCCCTGAACACTGCCAAGTATAGTCTAAAAGAAAATAAACAAAATAATGACATTAATCACCTAGATCTAATGTCTCTTAATCTGTTCAAGGATTGCTAACTTTTTAGGTAAACAGTAACTGGGAGTATATATACTTTAAAATTCTTATCTTGTACCAAGATTAGCACATCATATTTTATGGGGTATGAAGTAGAAGACAAAAAAGTCTTGATTAAAATGTGCGTGTGTGTGTGTGTATTCACAAAATGCTCAACCTGTAACATGTTAGTAATCTCTTATACAAGGGCTTAAGGGCTTAATGACTCCAGGGTGAGATACAGCAATCTTCACACACTTTCCACTAAGGAAACTTTTGGGGATCATTTTTAATAGATTATTCATAACAAGCAATACAAAATAAATTATTTTGGTCCTGCTTTGGGGGCTGGCTTTGGAGGAGGAGTGGAAAAATTCAAAATATGGTGGTGTGAAGGTATAATGGTGGTGGGATTGGTGTTGGAATATTGAATGTAATAAATTATTGTGAACTACTTTATAAAAATTAAATAAATAAATAAAATCCTTATCTTTTAGAGAGATATGCTGAAAGAAGTGAAAAATACATACATGTGTATTAATTATATGTTAAAATGTATGATATCTAGAATTTTCTTTTAAATAGTCTCATCAAGAACTATGCACAGGACCAGAGCATTAGTACAGCGGTTAGGGCATTTGCTTTGCATGCAGCCGACCCAGATTCAATCCCTGGCATCCCATATGGTCCCCCCAAGCAACACCAGGAATAATTCCTGAGTGTAGAGCCAGGAGTAACCACTGAGCATTGCTGGGTTACCAAAAAGGAAAAAAAAGAACTATACATAACAAGACTGATCCTAGGCTGATAGCTGTTGAAAGTGGTTGATAGGAACATGCAATGTTATATTAGTCTTCCTAATCTTAGATATATTTGAAAATTTCTAAAATCCTGAAAAGTTTTAAAAAGAGATACCACTATACACACACAATAGCACAAGTATCAAGTTATAACAAGTGTGTAAACAGGAACTCAGATGACAATATATGAAATACTGATACAACCTTAAAGATTTTATGAAAGTGTACAAAGTACAACTATTTTAGAAAACAAAAGGCTAGTATTAAATAAATTGAAAATTGGCACACCCTATAATGCTGCAATTCTGCTATAAGGTGCATTCCTAACAGAAATACTGTGCATGTACACCAAATGAATATTAAAATCAGTATTGTTTATAAAAGAAGAAAGGGTGGCGAGGACAGAGGTGGTGGTGATGGCGGGGAGATTGGCATAGAGGAGGGAGCAAGGAAGAGAACACAAATATCCACTAATAAAAGTTAAAAATAGTGGTATGTTTGTGTGATGTCATAATACCCAGCAGTGAAAATAAACAAACTACAACAGCAATAACAGAATGACTCTTGTAACGTGAAACAAAAGAAGCCAGACACAAAAGTCATGCTGTAGATTCTTTCTAGTGTTATGTAGTTGAAAAACAAACATACTAATCTATATGTTAGAAATCTAGATACCTGTGAAAAGAAAGGATGAGTTAGGGATTAGGAGAGCTTAAGGGAAACTCTAGGATACTAATGTACCAGTTATTCATTTATGAACAGGTAAGAAAAACCCCTTCATAATAAAGAATTTCATTACTTTATTATTTCCTATGTGAAATAATATGTGAAAATATGAAATAAATGCTAATAATTCGGCAACACATATACTAAAATGGAACGATACAGAGAAGATTAGCATGGCCCCTCACGCAAGGACAACACGCAAATTTGTGAAGCATTCCATAATTTTTTTTTAAGTCTACAACTGTACCTCATGGTGTCTCACTAATAAAAAAATAATAAAATTAAATTAAATTAAAAAAAAGAAATGTAGATGACATGGGGCTCGAGCATGCACAGCGGGTAGGGCACACGGCCAACCCGGGTTCGATTCCCAGCATCCCATATGGTCCTTCAAGTACTGCCAGGAGTAATTCCTGAGTGCATGAGCCGGGAGTAACCCCTGTGCAACACTGGGTGTGACCCAAAAAAGAAAAAAAAAGAAATTTAGGTGATGAGAATGCAGGTAATTATCATACCATTTCTTATAGGTCATATGGTTGCTAATTATTAATAAGAAATCAAAAATAAGTGCCAGAGCAAGAGCATAGTGGGTAGGGTGTTTGCCTTACACGTGGCTGACCCAGGTCTGATCACTGGCATTCCATATGGTCCCCCGAGCCCCACTAGGTATGATTCCTGAGCACAGAGCCAGGAGTAACCCCTGAGTACCAACAGGTGTAGCCCAAAACACAAAAGCAAAAGTCAAAATAAAATTTGGGACTAGGGACATAGATCAAATGCCAAAGTCCGGGCCTAGGATGTATAGCCACTATATTTGACCCCAACAGTACAAGGTCTGACAAGCATCTCTGGTAGTGACACCTAATAAAAAATAAAATTATGATTTATTGAGATAGGAAGAAAACACCTCTCAGTCCTAAATCCTTATATTCTCAAAAATATTTTTAATTATAAAAAACTAGATATCTATATTTTATCAGACTCACTTTTCCTAAAATAGAATAGCCTGAAAGCAAATTACATCAACTAATAATATAACTTTTGTCACAAGAAATTCTGCTATCATTACTTCTCATGTCATACTATATACAGCATATTTTAGGTCTGGACTTCTTAAACTTTATACACCAGCAGATAATTATAATTTTTTTTAATTTTAAGAAGTTAAACAGTATAAGAAGCTAAGTTTTAATTCAAATTACAGGGCAAGGTTGGTTTTGGTTTCTTTTGTTTTTTTCTGGATTTTGGGTCTTACCCAGCAATGCTCAGGGGTTATTCCTAGCTCTATTCATGAATTACTCCTACCAGTGCTCTAGGGACCGCATGGATGCCAGGGATCAAATCTGGGTCAGGAGCATGCAAGGCAAACACCTTACCTGCTGTACTATTTCTCCATCCCTGGGGCAAAGGTTTTTGAAACCTCCAGCAACTAATTAGAAAAACTATGTGGAGAGTCAAAGTGATAGTAGAGCAGGGAGGGTGCTTGCCTTGCACATTGCCAACTGGAGTTTTATCCTTAGCATTCCATATGTCCCATAAGTCCACCAGGAGTGAATCCTGAGTACAGAGCAGGAGTAAAACCTGAGTACCATCGGGTGTGGTTCAAAACCCAAACAAATTCTTGCAATTAAAAAAAGCTGCAACAAAATTTTTTAAAAATATGTGCTTTTTAACTAAATTATTTTAACCACTTAATGTGTTTAATATAAAATGCTTGTTCTGAAGGCATTCTATTACTTTGGTTTTGTTTGTTAACTTCGCGCTTTCATATTAAATTAAGAATAAATGTGCATAATTATAAATATCTGGGCTATTGAATATTAACAGGAGACTACTTTAAATACAATTATCCTAATTTTAAATTTTTCATTGGGCTTTTTTTAAAAGGTGTTAGAGAACCTTACCTTTCCAATGAATGGAACCAGGTGATGTTCACACATGGAAAACATATCTATATCCTTCACAATCACCATCTCATCATGATCTTCATCAAATATAGCATCATTTATAGCATCTGAAATCAGAGACCTATTTTAGTAATGGTTCCAATAGTATAGGAAGAGTAGAAAAACCAATACTTTTTAGGGGGAAGTAAAAACTGATAGCAGAAAAACATTAATCCTGACTAAGATATTAAGGAAATGCAAAGACTTAAATTAATTCCTTTTCTCCCATCAAATTAGAGGTTTGGGGGGCTGGAGAGATAGTACAACATTAAAGTAGTTGCCTTTCACATGGCCAGGGGTTACCCCAATATCCCATAATCATACTCCTGAGCACTGCCAGAAGTAACCCCAGAGTATCGCCGTGTGACCCAAAAAGAAAAACAAAAAACAGATGAAAAAAGAAAAGAAAAGAAAAATTAGGTATTTTTCTACTATAAACCACAGTGCGAAAAGTTATTTTTTTTAAATGTGACTCTCATAGAGGCAGACTGGTGGGGGGAGGCAAATGGTGGGGGACACGGTGGACAATGATGGAGGGAATTGGTACTAAACATTGCCTGAAACCCAATCGTAAATAACTTGGTGATTCAGAGTGACTGAAAATGAAACATAAAAATTAATACGCTTTCTTTAAATAATGGGAAAATCCTTTTGATATAGTTATTATATAGAAAATGGGGGGCTGTAACAATAGCACAGGCTGGTAGGGTGTTTGTCTATCATGCAGCTGACCTAGTTCAATCCTCTGTATCCCTATGATCCCCCAAACACCAAGAGTAATTTCTGATCCTGAATGCAGAGCCAGGAATAACCCCTGAGCATTGCTGGAAGTAACCAAAAAGCAAACAAACAAAAAAAGCAGGACTGTAAATTATTTATGAGAGAGGAAAAGAGGAAAAAAATATGCTAAAACAAGGAATAGCAATTTCTGGTGGGTAAAAAAAGATCTCCTTCCATATTCTTATATTTCTATGTACTTATCATTTCTATATATTGATGTATAAGAATTCTAGCTCAGAAAAATATTAATAACCTTAAATCTTCTCACAACAGAGGCTAATCCCAGACACTATAAACTCGATCCCCCAAACAGTATTTTACTCATAAAATTTTTCAGTCACTGTATGCAAGCATCAGATGAAACTGTTGCCTTTCTCCTTTCTCAGTAAAATTCATCCTACGTTTTTTAAACATATGCCTGTCCAGAATAAAGTTTCTTATCTAGCTTATGGATTCTGGAACATACAATTTTGCAAACAAACTCAAAAAGCTTTAGCTTTTCAAAATGGTTCTGATATCTGGACAAGTTGGCAGATTAGATACAGTCTAGGCACTGAGGAGTTGTGCAGTTTCAAGGATTTGGGCAAATGCAGTCTTCACAATATGATGAGTCAAGGAAGGAATAAGATGCAGTGCATCTGACAGCCACCCACAGCTTCTTCCCCTTTGCAGAGCAGGCTGCCGAGTGAGTCACAGGGCTAATGTTTAAATGCCCACCCCATTTGCCTGACCTTCAGTTGCTCCACTGCTACTAGAGTAGGGATTCACAGAGACTGAGTCATCATTAAACCATAGTTACCATCTTCAGAGTAAGGCTATTAAAAGATAGATTTGACTGTAATAGAAAACTCATTAATGTGGATAACAAATGTGAATATGTGGGGCTGAGACACACACCCATAAACATATCGTCCCTGTTAGGAGTGACTGATGAAATCCGTAGGCAGTGGGGTAGGGGTGGGGGGCGGGGGAGGTGAGGGGAATAGGGGGAAGAGGAGGCTCAGTGCCAATCTTTAAGTTAATGCTCTTTCCCCAAAAGTCTGCACTAACCCAGTCAAAATTTTAAAAGAAATCATCCAAAAATAATCTTTTGATGCTCCTGGATTTTGTCAAGATTTGAATGTAATATTATTTTATATCATCTTATGCATAGTTTCTAAACTCTTCGCTGACATTAAAAAAAAATTCCCTCCCTTCTGCCCTCTCCTCTCTGGAAAGAAAGATGGCGGCCACAGGGGAGCCTTGTGGACAGCAGGTATGAGCCGGGGGTGGGGGGGGGGCGACTAAAACCTCATGGGAAGGGGGGCGTTCCGGCCCGTCCTTCACACCCTACTGAGGTCACCAGTTGCCCCCCACGAGCGGCTCTTCAGCATGGCCATGACTCCAGAGCACAGAAACCAATCTCTTAATTATCTGACTCTCAGTAGAAATACTTCCAGGGTTAATAAGTAAAATAGCAGAAATCCAAAACCATTTGGACATCATTTAATTCTTGAATCCAGCTGTAGAAAGCAAATCATTCCACAATGCTTTTTCAGCATGTCTGATTTGGGGGGGGAGGGTAAACTCTAAATAATAATGGTGCAACTTTTATCAAAACAATGAAGCCAGTCAAAAGTAGATAGAGTGTTAACTAGAATTCATCTGCCTCACAGGCATTGGTGGTGGTGGGGGGGGGGGGTTATTGGGGTTCTTTGTGGTGAAAAATAAGTATTGGTAAAGGGAAATGTGATTGATATTTGCATGACCGAGACCTAAACCTGAAAGCTTTGTAACTTTTCCCACAGCGATTCAATAAATAAATAAATAAATTATAAAAAAAATTCCCAAAAATCAAAACAAAAAAATATTATTTCTTAAAGTAAGTAGAGAGACCTATCTTCTCTCTGTCTTACAGGAAGTATCTCAACTATAGGAAGTATCTGTTAGTCATCTTTGGGAAAGAATGAGAGCGTCCCATTGTAAGCTCTGATAATAACCAAAAGGTGTATGTGAAAACAAAAGCTGGCCCTTGGGCTAGACTAAATTAGCATCTGATTCCATCAGTTACTAGCTGCTGGACTTGGCACAAAACACTCTGTCTCAGCCTTATCTGCTGAAAAATGGGCATGAATATAGTTCCTACTCCTACTTCATAGTATATACTGAGAATTAAGTGGAACAATAAATTTACCAATGGCTGCAATTATGCAAACAAAGCAAATAGTGGTGACTTATTTATATAATTTCCATTCAGACTGGGGGAGATGCTGAGTTATGTGTCCCCCACATATTGTTTCCCCCACACACTGAAGAACAGTAGAATTTTTTTTAATGTAGGAGTACTGCTATTTAAGAACAGTAGAATTTTAAAGGAAAAAATTTGCTGTAATCTACAGAAAAGGAAAAACAGTAACTTTACTGGGAAGAACCTGAAAAACACTATCGTAATCTAATGATCAAGGTCCACTTTACCTCAGGCATATATTATGTCAATAAGATTGATTTCCATGTAGCTCCTGATAAAATAGGATTATAAAGGCACATAAACTCTGTGGTATTATTACCAAGAATTTGTAACTGCAGTCTAATAAGTCTAATAATCAAACTGAAAGCCATTCAAGAAAATATCAAAACAACTATTCTTTAAGTATATAAATATATATATACATATATATATATTAGACAAAGAGGCATCTTGAACTCCCGAGAAACCTCAATGAGCTTGGTTATCGTGTGGATATGGTCGATGGTGCTGAATCCTTTGCCGTACCCGGCTTGCTCGCATGGTTGTCCTTCATCTAGTGTTCTATCAATCCTATTCAGGATGACTCGACTGAACAGCTTGTAGATGACAGACAATAGGCAGATCGGGCGATAGTTGCCAATGTCGTGGATGTCTCCCTTCTTGTACAGTAGTACAGTCCTGCTGGTTTTCCACTGGGACGGAACCCTGCATTCAGACAGGTAGCATGTGAAGAGCCGAGCTAACGTATTGTTGAGTACTGACGGCAGGCTCTTCAGGTGTTCAGGTCTGACCTTGTCCGGGCCGAGTGCTGTTCGTTTCTTTACCAACGAAATGGCATGTCGAATTTCAGAAGGGAGAACATTGGGAACAACATATCCATCCTGTGGAATTTGGTTCATTGATTTAAAGAAGGCCTTTGATTCTGTTGAGATGGAAGCGGTCATTGAAGCCCTAGCCAATCAGGGCATTCAAACTCAATACATCAGGATCCTCCATGAGCTGTATTACGAATTCACTACCAGGATCTCACCATTCTACAAAGAAGTAATAGAAGTAATCATTGATGTCAAGAGGGGGGTTCAACAGGGTGATACCATTTCACCAAAACTCTTCAGTGCCACCCTCGAGAACATCATGTGATGACTGGAATGGGAAGGAATGGGAGTGAAGATAGATGGTCAGCAACTACACCACCTCCGCTTTGCTGATGACATTGTTCTAATAACACCAAACATTAGCCAAGCAGCACAAATGATAGCTGACTTCGACCGTGAGTGTGGAAAGGTAGGACTACAGCAGAATCTTACGAAGACAATGTTTATGAGAAACAGCCTCGTTCCTGACACTCCATTCGCTTTCAATGGAACGACCATCTCTGAATGCAACAGTTATGTGTACCTAGGTTGAGAAGTCAACATGACGAATGACCTGGCACCTGAGTTGTGCAGGAGGAAGAGAGCAGCTTGGAACGCCTTCCAGAGCGTTGAAGAAATAGCTAAGAGGATGAAGAACCTCCGACTCCAGGCACATCTCTTTGATTCCACTGTTCTTCCTGCATTAACATATGCCTCAGAGACCTGGGCCCTACACAAACAGGATGAGAACACTATTTGGGTCTCCCAAAGAGGAATTGAAAGAGCTATGCTTGGAGTATCACGTTTCACTCAAATGAGAGAAAGAATCCGGAGTTCCGACCTCTGTGGATGATCAAGAATCAAGGACGCTGTCTCGTTTGCCAAGGCGTCAAAAATCAGATGGTTTGGTCACGTAATGAGATTTAGAGATGACTGTTGGGCTAGATCCGTTACCGACTGGATTCCACGGGATGTCAAAAGACCGCATGGCCGCCCACCTACCAGATGGTCAGACTTCTTCATCAAGATACTGAACGATCAGTTTGAGGCTCTTCGTGTTCCTATAACGAACAGACGCCATTGGGCTATACTAGCATGCGACAGAGACAAATGGAGACATTACTGGCGCCTGCTCGAGCAAATCAACGATTAATGGGAAGTCAATTGTGATCAAGTGATATATATGTGTGTAACCTACTTATATACATTTATAAAAATTTATAAAAGCCTTTATATAAACATATATAAAGGCTGAGAAACTATCACAGAGAGGTATATAATGGAAAAATTCAACTAATGACAATGGGAAAGTTAAAATACAAATAGTATATAGCTTACTTAATCATCTTATACCAGTTTTAATTTCTTAAGTACTGATAATTGTACCACAGCAATATGAAATATTAACATTAGAGGAAGCTGAGGGAAGGATATATGGAAACTATATATATACATGTTTATATATGTATGTATACATATATACTCTTTGTAATGATTTTTGTAAGTAAATTATTCAGAAATAAAAGGTAAAAGGTAAAGGCCCTCCCGTTGATCGTCGATTTGCTCGAGCGGGCCCAGTAACGTCTCCATTGGAGACTTTGTTGTTACTGTGTCTGGCATATCGAATACTCTCGGTAGCTTGCCGGGCTCTCCGAGAGGGGCGGAGGAATCGAACTCGGGTCGGCCATGTTGGCCGCGTGTAAGGCGAACGCCCTACCGCTGTGCTAAAACAGAAAAAAATCAAGAAGACTGTCTCAATCAACTGGAATCAAATGGAACTTTACTCAGAAATAAAATTGAACTACAAATATAAGTAACAGAGATGGTTGACTCTACAATAAAACTAAGTTAAAAAGTCATGCATATATATTCCCACACATATGTACACACACATAAGATTGTAGGAAATGCAAATATAGATATAGAAAGCAGACAATTTACTGGGAATCATAGAAGTGGGTGAGAAGAAGTGGGTGAGAAGAAAAGGATAGGAAGAAACTTTGGGGGGAGAGTAATGGGAATGGTAGATATTTCATTGTACTGTTGACCTTACAACTGAATGTGTATATCAAAACTTAATTGTACAGGGGCCAGGGAGATATTTCAAAGGGCTGGAGTACATGGTCTGCACTGGAAAACCTGGGTTTGATTCTCCGCACTACATAGTCCTCTTACCAAACCTGGGTATATCCTAAAAGCAAAAAGAAAATTCGATTGTGTATGTAAAGTTTGGACAAACTTGCAGGCTATCAAATGTAGCCTTCCCACAGGGCAGAGTCTGGCAAACTCCCCGTGGCGTACCAAATATGCCAAATACCAGTAACAATGATGGGTCTCATTCTCCTAAAGAGCCGTGAATATAATCTCAGGGCTAGGATGAAAGAGACGTTACTGGGGCCTGCTCGAGGCAATCGACGATTAACAGGATGATGAAATGAAATGAAATGAAATGAAATGAAATGAAATGAAATGTAAAGTTAGTGAATGCTATTGAATTTAAATTCTATCTTAATAGGGCTTACTTACAGTATGCATTCTTTTGTGTAGAAGAAATGGAGATACAAACATCCATATATACCTATGTTTATCTTAAATAACAAACACTTTTATAGAAGAATATATTAAAAAGCTAATAAAAAATGATTGCCTGTAAAGGATCAAACATACAGAATAGAAAGGATATTGGATTGCAGAGATATCTTTAAATACAACTTTTCACATAGTTTTTATTTTAAAATCATGTAAATGTTTTTTTAGAACAAGAGAAACAAGAAAAGATTAGTGTCCTCGTGTTGTTTAATGCTCTGTATGACAACTGAATACTAATGCTGCCTATATTCCTTTTCATTCCAGTGAGCCAGAACTATAAACTTGACCATACCAAATCATTTTTCTTCAATAATGAAGTTTCCCTGCTATATTTATTTATGTTTTGCGCCAAACTATCTGAACACTACCATCTGTGGCTAATAAGAACGAAACACTATCACAGATTGTTTTAATTTCCTGCCCGTTATCAGCAGCTAGAAGGTAACCCTGGAAACGCAGATTTACAGCTTTCTATTTCCTACTGTTGGTCATAGCCAAACAAAAGAAACCAAAGCAACCTCCCCAAGTGAAAGTTTTGTCTGTAACACTCACCTACCTGATCCATTTTAAAGTATACCTTTCTTGGCCATTAACAACTTAGTATTGACACCAAAAAATACCATACCAGAACTGACATCCTTCAAGCATTTAGCTCTTCCAGGAAGCACAGGAAGGCAGGGCCAGTATAACCCCCAGTCATTTCATCAGGACCCTTTGTAGAAGGGGTTCTCTAGCTTTTCACAACCTTGTTAAAAAACAAATCAATTCCACTTCTGGGCATCCACTCAAAACTCTGATCAGAAAAGACATTTTTTAATTGAATCACCATGAGATACAGTTACAATGCTTTCATGTTTGAGTTTCAGTCATACAATGATCGAACATCCATCCCTCCACCAGTGCACACTCTCTACCACCAATGTCCCCAGTATTACACCCCCCTCTTTCCAAACCTCCCCCTGCCTCTATGGCAGACAATTTCCCCCATACTCTCTCTCTACTTTCGGGCATTATGGTTTGCAATATAGATACTGAGAGGCTATCACATTTGGTCCATTATCTATTTTCCACACACACCTCCCATCCTGAACAATCCCTCCAGACATCATTGACTTAGTGATCCCTTCTCTATTGCAACTGCCTTCTTCCCCAGCTCATAAGGCAGGCCAGAAAAGACATTTGTACTCCTATGTTTATTTCAGTACTATTCATGATAGCCAAAATTGGGAATCAACCCAAATGTCCAAGGACAGATAACTGGATAAACTATATGATATAAATATAAGTATGTATATATATATATAAACAAATCATGGCAGAGCCTGGCAAGCTACCTGTGGCATATTCAATATGCCAAAAACAGTAATAATAATGGGACTCATTCTCCTGACCCTGAAAGAGCAGCGTTGGGAAAGATGAGTAAGAAGAGGCTGCTAAAATCTCAGGACTGGGAAAAATGAGTCGTTACTGGTGCCCACTCGAGTAAATGGATGAACAACGGGATGACAGTGATACAGTGATACATACAAATACTACTTATTTTAAACAGATGAAATCATACAATTCGCTAGCATATTTCCAAGGCCTATGGCTAATAGAGGCCATGGCATCTCCAACCGCTTGTAAGAGCAAACTGGAGAAACTTTGATAGTGCATGTCACCAAAACCATTCTAACAAAAATGTGTCCTAAATACATCTTTGTATTTCTAACAAAGGCTGCTATTTGCCTTTTCTATAAACTTCAGATCCTGGGCCTGAAGCCTTCAACCTTGAGTTTAGTTTTAGCATCATGTTCCATGTAGTAGGTATATCGGATCAACTATTTTATTAATTTCTTACAATTTTTCCTGTAGGTTGCCATCAGGTTCTCTGAAATATCTGACACTAAATCTGAGTATGGCAACTAGTCGCTGGAGTTGTTCTTTTTAAGGTCTTACATGAATAAAGCTCCCACTAATCAAGAATCTATGCTACCAGGTGTGAAAATGATGAGACAAGCTAAAAAGCAACAGGATATATCCAGCTTTGGGGGGCAACAACCCCCATTGTCAGGGACAAGTAGTTACAAGCAAAATGAGCTTCTGCACTTTGGGGGATTGGTATTGGTACTTGGCTTTAATGTAACCAAATAAAGCATTGAAAGTAAAAATTAAAAGAAAGAAAGGAAAAATGAAATCATGCAATTTGCCACTACATGGATGGAACTGGAGGGTATCGTGCTAAATGGAATCAACCAGAGAAAAGGGACAGTTACAGAATGATTTCTCATGTGTGGGATATACAAAGAATAATTGGGTACTCACAATAGACCAAAAGTAACAGAATCTAAGAACTGGTCTACAAAACTGAGCTTACTGTGGCAGTGTGTTGTAGAGAGTAAGGGATGAGGGAGAGGAGGAAAGGAGAGAGGGACCCTGAGACAATGATAAAGGGAAATGAACACCGGTTTGGGGTGGGGATGAGGGTGGATGTTGGAGTTCTGCATTCATAAAACCCTATTATTAACAGTATTGTAAAATTGTAAAGTAACTAACACTTAAAAATCACCAAACCCCATCTGCAAAGCCTCTTGTTGAAGTACATCTGTGTGGCACAAGAATTTTCATTTCTTAAGTTTTAATAGGGTACACCTACAGTGGGACTTGGGAGTCTGGAGTCACTCCTAGCAATGTTTGAGCTAGCTGAGAAGTGTGGGGTATGTGGTATGAGGAACGGAAGTCAGCCTGTACTAATTCAGCAGCCTCCAACACACTGCTATGTACATGCTCTACCACTTGAGCTATCTCTCTGATCCTGAAATTTTGTATCTGCAACAAATTCTTGTAGGATGCTAATGCTTCTGGTCCAGGAACCACACTTTCAGATAGTTTGGAAGGATAACATGTTTTGTGCATAATACAGAATCTTTGCACCTTTCCAAAGCTCCTAATGAAATTTCATAAAGGTAAAGGTAAAGGTAAAGGCCCTCCCGTTGATCGTCGATTTGCTCGAGCGGGCCCAGTAACGTCTCCATTGGAGACTTTGTTGTTACTGTGTCTGGCATATCGAATACTCTCGGTAGCTTGCCGGGCTCTTCCGAGAGGGGCGGAGGAATCGAACTCGGGTCGGCCATGTTGGCCGCTTGTAAGGCGAACGCCCTACCCGCTGTGCTATCGAATTTTAAGGATTAAATATAGACCCATTTCTGTAGGGGTAAATGGAGAAAAAAATATTAAGTTCCTGGAAGAGATTCCCACCAAGGAAATCTTCATCTAATGAAGTTCCTTTTGAATGAGTACTCAGAGGAATTACCACTATTGACATGTCTCGGGATCAACAGGAGCAAGGAGATGTCTGAGTAAGCCAGAGTTTCACACTGATGCCACTTCTAGGAGAACAGCATGAAAACATTGTGGACAAACAGTCAACATATATCCATCAGGGAGCAGGAAAGAGAGAACAAGGCTGATGTACTAATTCAGAATTAAGAGAGAACAAGACACAGAGAGCAACACCTGAAAGGCCAATTAAGCCTTTTTGTTCTTTGTTGAAATTAAATGAATTCCATGTACAATCTGATTTGTGGAGAACTCTTGGCCCAAACTCTACCATCAGTGCTGTCTCTGCCAGTATGGCACTCTTACGTCATTGTACCTCCTGTTTAGACCTCATTTGGGCTCATTTCTTCTCATCTTGGGGGCAAGTGTTATAGCTTAAGGCTTTGGAGTTTCCACATGGTGACCTCTTTGCCATGCACAGAACTGGAGTTAAACATAGATCTTCTATTTTACCCAATTAATATGTCAGTCTTTACCCTGTGATTTGCTTTCTTAAAATAGATGTTAAAGAAGGGACTCCACAGAAACTCACGTAGCCAAGGGAACATAGAATTCTCATTGCAGTATTATTGGTAATAGCAAATATTGGGAATTTAAATATGTTTCAGAAGAACAATTGCATGGTTTTGCAAGAGTCATTCCATAAAATACAAACCAGCAATGAAAGAGAGTGAATCTGAGAGACAATGTCCAATGGAAAAAGAAAATGAACAGAAGCAGTAGCAAATATATACAGCATGATTCATTTAAAGGAAGTACAAACATAATTTCTTGCTGTTTGTGGGAATACACATAAAAGGAAAGCATAAAAATATTCAAATAATACATCAAGGATTTAGCCACTTCCTGAATTTGATTTATTGTTCAAATGCCTATTTTTGTACTTTCATGTGTAACAGAATCAGGAAAAGATAAATGAAAATGTATCTGTATTTAAAAAAAACTATATGTGTTTAAGATGAAGGTGAATGTTTGTTACAAGTTGTTAAACTGTATTAAAAATGCATGGACATTACTTAAAGTTAGCTCTATATTTTTTCTGTGTACATTTGAGACATTCATTAATAAAAGATGATTTATTCTATTTCATTTGTTGGTTATTTGGCTACACCCAGGGGTTCTCTTATGTGGGCTCATTTCTTCCCATCTTGGGGTAAGTGTTGTCACCTCACAGTGCCTGGTGCTTGTGGGTCACTCTGCTGAGCTCCAGAGACCAGCTGGTGTCCATGCCAGGACTGAACCCAGAGCCTCCCCAGGCAGAGCATGTGCTCTAGACCATTTCCCAGCCTCCCCCTGCCAACCCAAACAAAACCCAAAAAGGGTATTTTTTTCATTGAGAAGTTGATAGACTTAATGACATGTGTTCTTTTCCTGAAAAAAATTCAATTCAATTAAAAATTCAATGTTACCTTGATCTGGGTCAGGAAGAGGATCACACAGGACAGCCTGCTTCATGCAATGCTGAAAACTCCTGCGGAAACCTCCTCCATACTCTCTAACTCAAATAAAAGCTTCTGCCCTGACAGTCCCAGAGAAACATTTTCTCTCTACTTTCTGCATGAATAGTACATCCTCTGAGTAAAAGCAGTGGTAAAATTCACCCAAAAAGGAAATCAACCTCTGCTTTCATCTCCCGTGGGACACTGCATCTCTTGATAAGTCTTCCAAGAAACAGCTTTTTGCACTTAGCAAGATAGACCTAATATTTGTGAAAAATCTGGCCAAAATAGGCAGGAACCCAAACATTCCACAGACTGACAAAATGGAGGAAAGTAAGATGATTTTGGACAATGTTTTCACCATCTGCTGGAGGCAGAGTTATTGCACGCTTTGATCCACTCCAGGAATTGATTTCATAAACTGTAGGTCTGTCCACAGGAAAGAGGTAATGCATTGCAAAAAAAAAAGGAAAATTTTGGCTGTTTTTAGAATTTTTGATTGCTATCTTCCTTGGTAGACATCAATTCTCATGTTGCTTTTAAACTATAAAACATTGGATAAAGTAAAGCTTAGACAACGCGGATGGACTTTAAGGGTACTATGCTAAGAGAAATAAGTCAGCCAGAGAAAAACAAACATCACATGATCTCATTTCCATGTGGAATGTAAAAAAAAAAGTCAAGCTTAAATAAACAAATGAGCCAGACTGGTAAAAACATGTTGAATGGTCATTACCAAGGGCTGAGGTAAGGAGAGAAGGAGAAGCCAGGGAAAGATGAGATGTTTGTAAAAGAACAGAATCTTTCAGTTAGAAGATAAGTATGTTTGTTCGTCTGGTTTGGGGGTAACACCTGGCAATGCTCATGGTTTACTCTTAGCTCAAGGATCATTCCTGGAAATGTTCAGGGGACCATTTATATCTTGGTGCCCGGGTTAAAACCAAGATCCACTGCATTCAAGGCAAGTGCTTTTTCCCTGTTCTATCTCTCTGGCCCCTAGAAGATAAGTATGCCCTGAAAAGTTAATGTGTTGCTTTATGATTACAGCTAACAACACTGCCTAATATTAAGACAGTAATCATATTACAATATATGCATATCAAATCAACTTCCTATACACCTTAAAATTATAAAATTATAGGTCAGTTATATCCATGGCTACTGAAATAAATGTACTAACTGCCCTAAAAAAAGTGTCGCTCTGTTTTCATTCAGCAATGCAGTACAACTGAGAAGTTCCACGACTCAATCAGTCTTGTAACACTACTACTTTTATTGATTAAAGACAAGCTTTCCCATATAAAATTATCTCTAGTATCTTCATATTTAATTTTTTTCTTGATCACAACAATGTTAGTTTTGTTTTTCTTCATTACAACAGTATTTATTTATTTATTGCAGTTTATAAGATAATGAATACTGGAAGAAAATGAAAGCACATTGTTCCTCTCCACCTAGAAACAATTACAGTTATTTGATTAGCTCTTATGGACACACACACACACACACACACACACACACACACACGAGATTTGGAACAGACAAAGGGAAAAATTAAAAGGGCCCAGAAATCCAATTCTCCTAAGTTCCCTGTGTAGAATATCCCCTTGGTTTTGAGTCCTCCAAAGGTAAGACAAGAATTTCGGAGAGGTTGAACATGGTTCCTGAGTTCTTGTTTTTCCCAATGGGGTTTCTGGAAATTGATGCCAACTTACAATATGCCAAATTACAATAGACACCACTCTCATATCCCTGCTGGTCAGCTTTTGAAAGGTACATGGTAGTGGCCAGCAGCTTACTGCAATGAGATGCAGACAAGCACCTCTTTCAAATTATTTCAACGTAATATTCTGGGATGAAATGAAAAAATTTTATTATATAAATGCATCATTAACTCTTAAAGTTATTCAAGATAAAGACTTCTCATTTTGGTCTCAGTTTATTCCTCTGAAAAATCTGGGTAGACCAAAATTAGAGCCTTAGA